AGGCACATCCCTATGTCGTAAAGAAGCTCAAAAAATCATAGAAGTTGGCCTTGAAATTTCTTCCCCTTCTACTTGTCCTATTGAGATAGCATCTTTTCCTGTCCGGGTAGGTTTGGAACATTACGTGGAGCAAACACACCACCAACATGGCCAAGTTTTTCAATTCATGTGTCAAAGTTTTCGAAGGACAGCCTAGGCAGCTCTGGTCGTAAGACGCTGGATAATTGCCAGAACGTTAGGGTAGGAGCCCAGGAGGGAAGGAGCAAGCTCTTATATGGGAGCAGAGGTCCCAGGGAGTGCTAAAATGGAGAAAATTTGTTATGCAATGGTTGAAAACCGTGCTCTGCGGAGCCGTAGCTGTTCTTTCGCGGCGGTAAGCACCGTAGACACCTTTTGGACGCTTCTACGATGATGCTTGATATACTTCCTACATCTACTGCAATGGGAGACGGGCAAGAGAACCGCAAATCACCGCTTCGTCGCGCGCGGCTATGGGCGCGACTTTCCTTAATTTCCACAACCCTTTCGACTGGAACATCGGATCCCACGTAGACAAGGACATGGTAGACACTTATGTCTATTTTTGGTCATACATTGTCTATTCTCGACCAATACCACCTAAAATCGTCGTCATTAGCAGGCGCGACGTCGCACGCGACGCCCACTGGCGCGGCGGATTACGATTCTCTTGTCACATATCCTACTGCAATAGGCTGCAAAAATCATTACACAAAATATTATAGTCGCTCGAAAAGGCTCCTCATCTGAGCATAGGTATGGTGCTGAGATCAGCTAGATTACTTTCAAATACCGCAACAGTTTGGAATGAAGGAGGAATGCGCGGCGTATCCCAAGTTGACTTGATCAACAGCAATGCTTAGTCCTTTGCATGGAAGACGTCAGTCCATCCCCACTTACATGTGAGAGAAGGAAAAAAGGTAGAAAGCACAATGTGAAATAATTCCGGAACAATGAGCATGGTCAGCAGCGTGAACATGCGTTGCAATCTCGTGGGCTCGCGGAGAGTGTAATAGACGAGGCCAGGACAACGGCTATCACAGCAAGTTGCAATTTTTCATCCGCCAAATAAGCGTGGTGACAGATTTTCAAACACCCCTTGGAAAATGGCCAGGTGTTGCAAGTTTTTCTCTATTTTAAAAAATTTCTATTTTAACGAGAAATGGCCTTATGTAGGCATTCTGTTTCCAGACAGAGTACAGAGAAAAGTGGAAAGGCTATTGGGGGTATGGAGCTTTTTCGAAAGCTGTATCACTCAGTTTGAGGCACTCATTTAAGGGACCCTCACATCTGCATCGACCACGGTTTAGAAAGGCTTTCAAGCGTCAGCGTTCATGCGTCGGGCTGGAGGATAGAAGATCTCGTTGGCCTGGTGGGGGAGGGGGGGAAGGGGGATCCGGAATTGCCCGCCGCCGCCTGAGAACGTTGACGCTTTGCTCAAAAACCGTCTCCGCCTCGAGCTATTTCCCCTAGAGAGAAGACCAAGTTCGTAAAATTGAACTAAAATCTTGGGAAAAAGTCTGGTCGAATTGGTTATTGTATGCGAAATAAGTCGACTCAGAGCGCAAAAACATTGTTTCCGGCGAGGTGAAGTGCGACGGGGGGGGGGGGAGGGGGGATGCAAGGGAGCCAGGTCATAACTGCTGAAACTCGATTGAATTAGCTCAACGTTGTTTTGTTTTTAGTGATTAAGTTTTAATTTTGGTCGGCGCGGCTTTACGCTCTTCGCGCCTCATTATGAAGCCTGCTGGCGGAGAGCAAACCAACCGCCACTAGAAGAGTTTTTAAAAGGTAGCATTGGTCGAGGCTGCCTTATTGTTTGAGTGGGGGCGCTTACTTGTGTGATCAAGGTCGCTGAAGTAAAGCTTTTGGTATTACTTTTCGGTCCTCCTCAAAGTCCTCTTTTCCTTGAAAAGGGCTGTCTTTTTTCACCTGTGACTTCCAATTTCGAAATGATTTTCTATATTACAACAGTGTATAAACTCGTAATACTATAACCACATTGAACACTTTTATTGCTGTGTTTTCAGGCATTATAATATTACGAGCATGCTGTGTAACGTCATGTGTAGCGTCTAATGAGGTGACCGTCCTCCCAGTGGTGACGACCGCTCTCACGTCACCCAGGTCCTCATGTGGGTATCTCCGGTCCCTTCATTTGGCGTCCTCCAACTCCGTTGTATGGGTATGGCCCAGATCCTCCGCTGGGGTATCCTCCTGTCCCTCCATAAGGAGATCCTCCATACGGGTTTCTCCCAGGTCCTCCGTAAGGATATCCCCCGGGAGCGCCGTATGGATATCCTCCAGGCCTTCCGCTAGGGTATCCTCCTGGTCCTCCGAAGGGGTAGCCGGATCCTCCGTACGGGTTTCTTCCAGGTCCTCCATATGGATATCCACCGGCTCCGCCGTACGGGTATCCTCCTGGTCTTCCGCTCGGATAACCTCCTGACCCTCCGTACGGGTATCCTCCAGGTCCTCCGTACGGGTTTCTTCCAGGTCCTGCCACTAGGAATCTCCTCGGAACCGCGTATGGAAATCCTCCAGGTCCTCCGATGCGGTGATCCGTCGAGGCTGGTCCTGCCCGTACGTGTTTTTCCTGGCCAGGTCCTCCGAAAGGGAGCCTCTGTTCAGCAGACCTCCCAGAAAAGGAATCAACCTCCTGAATGCAAATTAAGAGTTGTATCCTTGAATATTCGGGCCAGGTGGTTGTCCAACTAGTTGGCTCTTCTGCTCTTTCACTTGGAGGTCCGCGATGGCTTCCTGCGGAGACTGTGTAAATTTCTGAGCAGACAATCTACTGCTCTCTGCATTCACTTCCTGAAATGGAGATGATTTTCATAAAGTATTTTTCGATTAAATATGTACATGACAGTGAACATAGAGTAGATCAAATACGTCGTTCTCAGTCTCGCGATACCTCCAACCACGCGCAAAAGCACTATTGCCTAGGTAGGGAGAATTTGTTTCGAACCCACTCATCAGCCTTCCCATTGAGCCAACCTCTCTGCCAGCCACCCATCTTGCGCTAGAGCACGCTGGCGGTTGGACGGATGGTGAAAAAAGACTCTGTCAGGGGCGGTACAACCAAGGCGAAGAAAACTACTTCGGTTTTCAGTAATTATGGGAGGGTTAAGGCATACCCAAATCTAATACTGAACTTTAATCTTGCGTGAACGCGAGGCAACGCGGACACCGTTGTCGACAACGCGCTCCATCCCTGCTCTTCTAACTCTGGCGTTCAAAAATACCTCTAGAAATGGGTCTTTCTTCCTTCCTATGCAGATTGGCTAGAAGTAGCACTAAGACAGGAACTGCCTTCTATTTCAACCTCACTGACTACTTGTGAGGCATAAGCTGTCTCTGATGACGATCCCCATTCCATATTCGTCAAACTATCTGACAAACACATCATGTACACTACTTATCCCTGCGACGGAGTAGGCGTGGCATTTGAACATGGCACTGAATAGTTACTCGTGGGATGTTTCAGTCTGAGACAACTGTCATCTTGTTCTGTGCACGGACAACACGATCAAACAATTTTGTGTCAAAATAAAAATATGTCACCAAAAGCAGAGCCACCGCCACTTTCAGTTGAGGACGCAGCCACGCCTACCGCATCTCGGGAATTTCGAGTGTAAATCATGATGGACGGGGTCATATGTTGCCAGGTTTGTTGAGAGGTTTTTGTAACTCTCATTTTTTCCGATCCCCTTCCCCCCTAGTTTAGGCCAGCAAAAATAGCCCGACTACTGTTTCACCCATACGAATGTTGAGTCGTGACCCTAGGCGAGACTTGGACCAGCACCTCACGCTTTTGAAG